GAAATTGAATCGAGAAATATTGAAATAGCTATTGAAGCCATTGAAGCTCAGAAGTCAAGGATGCCAAAACTTTGTATTCAACTTCAGTGGAGGAACGAGAAACTGTGTTTTTCTTCTTGGATTTCCAGCAAAGAAGAGAAGATCCAAGAATCACACAAAAACCAGTAATAGACTTTTTAGTCTCAGGACACCTAGCATAATCTGAGTCAGCAAAACAAAAAAGCTTGAAACAACTGAAGGCTGAAAAAATAATACCTTTGGTAGGTATAAATTTAAGGTACCTCATGATCCTTGTGGCAACTTGATAATGAGGTACAAGAGGTTTGGAAACATATTGACTTAAATGTTGCACAATATAAGATATATCAGGTCTATTATTAGTCAAGTAAATCAACCTCCCAAATAATCTACTATAAATGGAAGGATCCTCAAGAGGTTGTCCATCAGTAGTAGACAATTTCAGATTAGGATCAAAAGGGACAAATGAGGGTTTTGTTGCCAAAATCTCTGTATCTTCAAGCAACTGCAAGGTATACTTTCTCTGATTCATGAAAATATCCTTAGTAGACCTAGCAATTTCAAAACATAAAAAATGCCTTAGTTGGCCAAGGTCCTTGATTTTAAATTGTTGATCCAAAAGTTTCTTGACAAGATGAATTTCATGAATGGAGTTTCTAGCCAAAACAATATAATCTACATATACAAGTAAGGCAATAAAACTGGTAGCAGTGGACTTGACATATAGAGAATAATTTGCATGAGATTGAGAATAACCTAGAGAAAGAAGAAAAAAAGATGAAAGCTTAGAGTAACATTTCCTACTAGCTTACTTTAAACCATATAATGATTTATGAAGCTTGTAGACATGTAAAGCATCAGAAGTGGATAAACCAAGAGGCAATGTCATACACGTTTCTTCATGTAAGTCACGATGAAAGAAGAGTTATTTACATCCAGTTGTTCCAAGTCCCAACTGTTGATAGAAACAATGGATAAAAGGACTTTAATTGTGGTAATCATAGCCACATGAGAGAAGGTATCAAAGTAGTCAATCCCTTCCATTTGAGTATACCCTTTAGAAACAATCCTAGCTTTATACCTTTTAATAGAACCAACAACCATGTATTTGATATTATAAACCCATCTATATCCAATACGGACTTTTCCAGGAGGTAAATCCACTACAGTCTAAGTATGATTATCTACAAGGGCCTGCAATTCTACATTCATAGCATGCTTCCAGCAATCAAGCTCGTTGGCTTGATGAAAAGTGGATGGTTCAATGTTGGAAGAAATATAACAATAAAAATGTTGGTAAGAAGAAGAACATTGACTATAGGAAAGAACAGAAGATAAGGGATACATGAATTTATAAGGAGAAGAAACTAAAGAAGTGGAGTAGCAGTGATAATTAAAAATATAACTAGGAGGATGAGAAGTCCTAGTGGAATGTCTCTGAGGAGGTATATTAGGAGGAGTAATAGCATAATCAATACTATTGGGTAAAGAGATATTCTTGTGCATAGTGTCCATGGTTGGACTGTTGGACAAAGAAGGATTAGGTTCAGATAGAATCATATCAAAAGTAGGGGAAGGTACAAAACTGTGATAAAAAGAGATAAGGTTTTGAGATGGGCCGGGGGTAGTATCATGATACTATCAGCTGCAGGTACATCAGATAAGTCATTATCAAGATGAGGAACCATGTTATCAGTGAAAGGGACATCAGACAAATCATTATCAAAATTGAAATTGTTGTACTGATGGATAGGTGTGGAAGGAGATAATTGATCTTTGAAAGGAAAAACATTCTCATAAAAGACAACATTTTTGGACACAAATATATTGTGGTGAGTTAAGTCATAAAGAATATATCCCTTGGTTCTTTCCTTGTAACCAAGAAATATGGCTTTTCTAGTCCTAGGATTAAACTTAGTTTTATAAGCCATTAAGGTTGAAGCATAACAAATGAAACCAAAAACCTTAAGATGTATTATAGAATGGGGCTCCTAGCATAAAATTTCATGAGGGAATTTAGACTTGAGCAAAGGTGTTAGAAGCCTATTGATAATATAGATAACATGTTGAACACAAAAGTTTCACATATTCAGAGGCATATTAGAGTGAAAGTGCAAGGACCTAGCAACATTAAGGATATGTTGATGCTTTCTTTCAACCACCCTGTTTTGTTGAGGGGTCTCAACAAGAGACTTTTGATGGACTATACCCTTAGACAATAAGAAACTATTTAAGGCTAGGAATTTTATTCCATTATCAGACCTTAAGATATTTAGATATTTTTGGAATTGTTTTTCAACATAAGCAACAAACTGTATAAGGGTATCTTTTGTTTGATCCTTGGTTTTAAGAAAAATTACCCAGGTATATCTAGAGAAATCATCTGCCAAAGTGAGAAAATATTTATGTCCTAGTGTAGAAATGGTTGAGAAAGGGCACTACAAGTCATCATGTAAGATTTCAAAAACATCATTAGAAGAAGTGATATTGTTGGGAAAGAGAAGTTTTCTTTGTTTAGCAAAGTGACAAGAATCACAAGGAGAATATGTATTTTTACATGAAATGAAAGGAATTTATTTTGCAATAGCTTGTAAACCTATATGGTATAAGTGCCTTAATCTAAGATGCCAAATATTACAAGCATTATTAGAAGCACAATTACAAGTATGGTGAGGGCCAGTTGAATTAAGAACATATAGTCCACTTTGCAATTCAGCTATACCAATTGTTTCTTTGGAAGGATTCTGCATAATGGAGCAAAGAGTTAGCAGTGAATTGTACAGAACAATAATTGCTTTGGGCTAACTTGGCTATAGAAATCAGATTGACATTGAAAATAGGAATGTAAAGGACATTATGAAGATTCAAAGAAGGTGTAAGAGTAACAGTTCCAGAGATTGGTGCAGAGAGTTGAGATCCATCAGGCATAGAAACATATATAGGAACTATAGACTTAAAATTAGTGAAAGCTAAAAAGTTAAAGGAAATATGAATGTGGCACCAGTGTCTAAAGATCCTGAGATTAGGAGAATTACCATTGAACATTAGAAGAATGATAATTCATGGCAAGAGGAGAGGTTGAAACAGAATTGGTTGTGGAAGTAAGCTTGGATTGTTGGAGGAATGCAAGAATGTTATTGTATTTCTCTTGAGTGAAACCATAAGAAGGTGTAGTGGATCCTGGTGCAGAAACTTCAGGTACACTATTGATGGAAACATAATTTTGAGAACTTGAACCATTGCCTTTGCTCTTGTTCTTGAAACCTGGTGGAAATCCATGTTTAATGAAATAAGTGTCAATGTTGTGATTGATTCTTCCGCAGTGAGTGCAAACCTAGTTTTGACCTCTATAACCATTAAAACCCTAAGATTTCCCTTTGTACTGATTAGGTTTACCAGGTTGAGAATCATGAGAAGTTTGAACATTTAAAATTGTGCTATCTTAATTGTTTCCAATGCTTGGAATAAGAACAGAAACAACATTATTCATCTCTCGTTCTTGCTGAATAACTAATGAAAAAGATTTATCAATGTCAGGCAACAGATTCATCATCATAATCTGGGACTTGGAGTGTGTAAATTTTCCATTCAAACCCTTAAGAAAACGTATCAAATAATCTTGTTCTCCATAACAACGAACATAAGCAATGGCACCACAAGAACAAGGGATTGTGCACAAACAAGAAGGACTCGAATGATAATTTTCCAATTCATCCCATAGAACTTTCAAATGAGTAAAGTAATTTGATACATCAAGAGTGCCTTGACGAAATTTGTACAAATCTTCTTGAATGTCAAATATGCGAAAAATGTCGTCGTGCAAAAACCTAATCTGTAAATTCTTCCACACTCCAGCATCACTATCAATCCAGAGAACCGATCTTGCAAGAGATTTAGAAATTAAATGTCGAATCCAAGCAAGAACCATCGTGTTGCACTGAATCCATGGTACATAGAAAGGATCGGATACTGCCGGTTTGATAAGAGTGTCGTCAATGAATTTATCCTTGTTCTTGGAGATTAACGCGATTTGTATCGATCGAGCCCATATAAGGTAGTTTTTGTATCAAGCGGTGGAAAAACAAGAATGAGTGATATATTCTCGTTAGGATGAAGATAATAAAGATTAGCAAAATTGGTAGCGAAATCAACAAAACTCTGAGCAACCATTGAAACATTGCTAACAACACCAACTAATCAATATGAGCTCCGATTTGGTGAGTGCGAATTTAAGATCGATGAAGACAATAGTATTTGAATTTACATACTTTATGTTTTTAGGATTGAGAACGAAAAGTATCTGATTTCTCTTATTTTGATTTTCTCATCTATTTAAAAAAAAGGTTTTATCTATTATTTAAATTAAATTTTAATTAACATATAATTTATAATCATTACTTTAATGATATGTACATATTTGTGAAATCAGCTGGGCATCGTGGTATCATAAATGAAGATGCCAAAGTTTTCAAAAGTAATGAAATAATAAAGATCACTTCACGTGTTAAATAGAAACACAAGTAAAATAAATTTAGGTATCACGATTAATAATTTTTTAAAATTAAAATAGAAACCAAAAGTGCAAGGAAAAAACTTTCAATTTAAAGGTAGTGATTTTATATATTCGTTTTTTTCTCCGAAGTGATTTTAGATTTTTTTTTCACTAGTGAAGTGATTTTATATTAGTTGCCACGAATCACATCAACTGAGATATAAGCACTTACGACGACGTCGTTGCAAAACATTAATCTCAAAGTTCAATTGAGTTTTCCTTTCAGTTTGACGACAAATAACCGTCTAGAGAGAGAAACCGAAAGCAGTGAAGTGAATAACCGTCTAGAGAGAGAAACCCAAAGCACCGAACTCGATACATACAAACCGCAAGTTTTCCCCTCTCTTCCACTCTCATTTTCTTGCGAAACAAATTCACACAACTTTCTGATCTTCACCTCAACGAAAAATTCAAGAACCTTTCCTCATCAATGGATTCCGAATCAGAGTTCCCCGTTCCTAGTCGGGAGGAATCCGAACTCATAAAGGAATACTTTCAAACTGAATCTCAATTCGTGGCTGCTAAGGGCTACTTCGTAAAGTTCCAGCAAATTTGCTTACGGAAGCGCATTGTTTCATTAATCGACACGGTAGGCGATGATGATTCTCGTTCCGTCATTGTTAGATTCTTCTCGCGATCTGTTTTTCGAGCTCGATTTCAGATCTGTTTTTGTTAATTTCTTAGTGTCTTTCTTGCTATGTTTAATTGTTGAGTTCATGTTCAAATTTACTGTTCCGATTTGTTGATAGTTTTGGAATTTTAGTTTTCGGAACTATATCCGGTTGAAAATGAATGAATTTCTTGTTGATCGCAGGTCTGGAGGAGTATTTCTTCTGATGCGTATATTCCGTATCTTGCTATGAACTATTTTGATCGCATCATTTCAAGATTCAATGAGATCTTGACGGTAATCTATATGTTTCTTTTCACTTCTGGAGATTTTTTTGAGTTTCTTTCATTTTTTGTTAAAACTGGAAATTCTTTGGTTTTTATTAGGATAGCGCCTTGGAAGGTCGTAATGATTCTGAAAAACTTCGTTTGATTGCAATCTGTTGTCTCATCATAGCTGCCAAGATAAGGATAAATAACTTCTCTGTTGATCAGCTTTTGGTAATTCTATTAAAAATATAATGTGCTTTTAGTCCCTTAGTTGCAATGTTTTTAAGTTCACTAAATAAAACTCTTATTCGTTGCAATGCACAGAGAGACTTGAATGACATGAAAGTGGTTATAACTCATCAGATGGTAAGGAAAGCGGAGTATCTCATTCTTGATCAACTTAATTGGAAAATGCTACCGGTGACTGCCTTCTGCTTTCTGAACCACTATTACCCTTACTTCAAAGAATTTGGTGGTTTTAAACGCCGTTGCATCAATGAGATCATAATTCAAGCTCAGGGAGGTAAACAAAAACTTGCATAGAAGTAATCTTTATATTCTCCAACATTGAGGCTGGAATATTATATTATATAATTGGAATTTTTTTTCCTTCTTATTCTGCAGAGCACTCATTTGTTGAAAACACGCCTTCTCAGATTGCATTGTCCGCGTTTCTGGCTGCTTCCAAAATTGCATACCCCTCAAAATATGACAAAATGCTAAATCCTTCTAACTTTCATAAAATTGACAATGAAGTAAGCACTGTTATTTCTGACAGTTTCTCTCCATTATAGAAAAGACATTAAGATCAACATTGTTTTAGTTTCAGATTTGTAAAAACAAATTTATATTATCGGTGAAGGTGACATAGTAAGGCCTTTATACACCATATAAATTATCTTTTGAAAAATAGAAATGATTTTTACCCATTCATTAGTTGGATATAAAAATCATGCCAAATCTTTTTCAAATGTTCTTTCAGGAGGAGGTGAAGAACTGTTTGAATCCGATGATAAAGCTTTGCAGTAAATTGGACATCCATATTGAGCCTGCTGAATCAGGAATTGGCTCCTCTTGTAGTAAAGTTGTGAATTCATGTGAGGAAAAAGAAAAAGAAGATGGGACTACGGTAATCAACGGGGTTGGAACTTCATCGGTAAAGGAAATCCAACAAGGCAGTGGCAAGGCGTGGGTGGTGGGTTCAAGTGAAGAAAAAGAAAAAGAAGATGGGACTGCCATAATCAACGGGGTTGCAACTTCAACTGTAAAGGAAATCCTACATGGCAATGGCAATGGCAAGGTGGCTGTGGTGTGTTCAAGAGAAGAAAAAAACAAAGAAGATGGGACTGCAGTAATCAACTGGGTTGGAAATTCTACGGTAAAGGAAATCCAACATGGCAATAGCAATGACATGGTGGCTGTGGTGGTGGGTTCATGTCTATATAAAGAACTAGAAAATGGGACTGTGATAATCAACGGGGATGGAACTTCGAAGGTAAAGGAAATCCAACAAGCCAGTGGCAAGGCGGGGGTGGTGGGTTCAAGTGAAGAAAAAGAAAAAGATGGGACTGCCATAATCAAAGAAGTTGGAACTTCAAAAGTAGTGGAAATCCAACACAGCAAGAGCAAGGATATCGTGGTAAATTTTTGCGAAGAAGAAAATGAAGATGAAGAAGTTGGGACTGCGTTAGTCCAGCGGAGACAAGTCAGGCGCAACACAGATCCTTCTCAGGTGCAGGTGGAAGTGATCCAGCTCCCGATAGATGATAAAGACAGGGTTGAGGCTATAATCCGACGATCACTGGAAAAGTGCAACGCAATAGAGGCTGAAGAGCCACAGCTACAGATGGGTGGGTCAAGTTCACAGATTGTAGATCTTGTTGAACCAATGAACTTTGAACTGAAGTGGATGGCTGGAGCAACTTCTACATCAGCAATTCCTTATTGAAATGAGCTTTGGATCATGTCCAGTTCAAAATGTTCTGGCTTTTCTTATTGAATTTTCAGAAATAAAAAATGTTCCAAGCACCAACACAGATTAAGTCCAGCCAAAAAGGCATGACTCTTATCTTGAATCACGCCTCTGATAGGAGGATTACCCCTAGTGGAAGAAATAAATAAAATGTTCTAAGCTCTTTTTAGTTTTTATTTCACAAACTAAACTGATTATGAGGCGGCTCCAACCAACCAAGTACTGAATCTGAGTCACTTAGGAGATATTTTGAAACTAAAGATGTGATTAGTGGTAGTAATAACAATATCAGTGTGCAACTGTATGTGACTGAAAGCTTAATCTTAAATGGTCTTGTGAGGTAATTGAAATCTAATTTGGTTGATCCAGAAGCACCTCCAAAACTGTTAGATGAACCAACAAGAGACAAAAAAATATATGATTGGAAAATATCAACTTGAAACATCTGAAGCTTCCTGGTATGCTGTTCTAGAATCTGAGACTCACAGGATTATAGTATTTGGTGTATAAGCCCATGAAATCAAATATTTATGTATAGATTATAGCGCTATATAACTTATTTTTATAACAAAAGAGATTAGGTTAAACCACCTATTTGCTCTCATATATTTATTTCTGAATTTATATTGATTCTTTAAGTAAAACAAAATTATACTTATCTCTTAACTTTATAAATATTGACTATTTTGTGTTCCGAATTTGTTGTTTTTTACAAGATTATTGATTTATTGTTGTTGCTTGATTATTGCTTGTTTATCTTGAGTTAAGGGATGCAAATTTGAGATGTAACGGTTTATAGAAAAATAGAGAGAGTTTTTAGATTATTTGAGTTTATTGAAAAATGAAGATTAGAGATTTATGAGTGATGAAATTCAAGTGTGGGGTCCATGTGTTATATCAACGGAGAAAATGTTTGTATTTAAGAGAGGTCATTCATACCCTTATTGCTTTAATGTTTTGGATGAATATGAAGTGTATCTCTCATTTGTGTATTGCTTTTGATTCAACGTGGATGTTTTTCCATAACCAATCAATGGTATCAAAGACAGGTTAGACTCGGCGGAAAATCGCAAGTGGGGTCATAGTATGAATCAAGAGTAGTAATATAGGTGACTTACACTTGTGAGAGATTGTTGAAATCAAGTGGCAGTGACTAACTCCGACACTGACTACAAAGAGAAAGACGAAATTCAAAATTAAAAAAACATGAGTCTGCAATAGATTTCAAGACAAAATTATGTGAAAAAGTTGAAGCTCCCAATTAGAGTGTTAAAAAAAACGTTAGTCTAGACTACTCGAAACGTTAAAGCAAACAAGCACTAAGAAATCTTAACTAACTTGTAACAAAATTAACTAACTAATAACTATATATAATTAAATATAACAAATAACACAATTAACTCAAATACCCTCCCATCAAGTTGAAATATGGATTAACATTTTGAACAATATAATCTAAGAAAAACGAAAAATTCAAGATAATTCATTAAAGATAATTACAACAAAAAGAATTGGAATTTGTTCTTCAATGGGACAATAGTCAATTACCACTTCTTTTTAAACAACTAGTTCTCGAATCTTATAAAATCGGATATCAATATGCTTGGACGGTAATACCCCAAATAATAGTATCTAGAATATCGAGTGAAATATTATACATAATGGTACTGGTTCATCAAAAGTAATATAGGTCTGATACAAGTACATGAAATAACACAAAAATACATCAATTTGCTTTCAAGGTACAGCATGTCATATCACAAAATAAAAATGACACACATAGGAAATGACAACGTAACAATCGCCACTTGAAAAGTGTTCGTATAATCTTTCCTTTATTGTTTTCTCAATATTTGCTCATTTGAAAAGAAATGAAGAAAAATAAGATGACATAACACATCTCCATGGAGTTCTCACTAAGTTCACGAGTACTTTCTATCAAAACTGATATGATACTTTCATATATTTCAATCGTATATTACAAAGGGAAATATGTTATATTTATATACACAAAAAACCCTATTTCTAAGTATAATTAAATCGGGATAGTTATAACCAAATCAGAGTAATTAACAATTAATAACTATATTCCTATTATAGTTCCTACAATCTTGTTGACAGCTAACGCCAACACTCCCCCTCAAGTTGGTGCATAGATATCTCGAATGTCCAACTTGTCAAGTGTATTGTAGAAGTTTACTACATACCGTTTTTGTGAGTATATCTGCTAATTGATCTTCAGATATAAAAAATTAAATTACCTTGGTCTCTAAATTTTGCTTAATGAAGTGTCGATCTACTTCCACGTGTTTTGTCCGATCATGTTGAACCGAATTATGAGAAATTTCAATTACAGACTTGTTGTCACAAAAAAGATTCATCGCACTATTCAGAGCAAATCCAATTTCAATTAACTGTCTTTGAAGCCAGAGAAGCTTACAAAGGCCTTTAGCTATCCCTCAAAACACTGCTTTAGCACTTGGTAATGCTACAACCTTTTGTTTCTTACTTTTCCATATAACCAAATTTCCTCCAACAAAGGTAAAATAGCCTGAGGTAGATTTCTTGTTGGTGATATCTCTTGTCCAGTAAGGCTTCGTATATCCTTCAACTTGTACATGATTATTCTTTGTGAACATCAAGCCATTTCCAGAAAAGGACTTCAAGTACCCCATGATTTGAATTACCACATCCATGTGATCTTTACTCGGGTTGTGCATAAATTGACTTACTACACTTACCGTATACGCTATATCAGGTCGTGTATGAGATACGTAAATATGTTTTCCAACCAATCTCTGGTACCTTCCTTTGTTTGTTGGCACTTGGTCTGGATATTCTCTAAGTTGGCGGTTCTGGACAATTGGAGTATCTACAGATTTACAGTCTAGTAGCCCAACCTCTGATATAAGATATAGGATATATTTTCATTGAGATAAAAAGATGCCTTTCTGCGACCTAGCAACTTCAATACCTAGAAAATATTTGAGTCCACCTAGATTTTTCATCTCAAATTCGCTTGCTAGTTGTTTTTGAAGTTTTTCTATTTCCTCAGAGTCATCTCCTGTAATAATCATATCATTTACATACACAATCAAAGTTGTGACCTTACCTTGACGGTGTTTTAAAAACAACGTATGGTTTGTGTTGCTTTGTTGGAAACCATATTTTTTATTGCCAGGTTCAATCTCCCAAACCACGCTCTAGGAGATTGCTTCAAGCCATACAAACTGTGTTGCAATTTATACACCACCTTAGTCTCATAATTTGTTATGTATCCCATAGGGATATCCATATATATATATATATATATATATATATATATATATATATATATATATATATATATATATATATATATATATATATATATATATATATATATATATATATATATATATATATATATATATATATATATATATATATATATATATATATATATATATATATATATATATATATATATATATATATATATATATATATATATATATATATATATATATATATATTTCTTCTTTCAAGTGCCCATGGAGAAAGGTGTTTTTCACGTCTAACTGATGCAATGGCCAATCAAGATTTACTACAAAAGATAAAAGAACTCTGATAGTGCTCAACTTAGCAACAAGAGAAAAGGTTTATTGATAGTCTATGCCATATATTTGTGTAAAGCCTTTATCTACTAGTCTTGATTTATAAATTTCAGTAGACCCATCAGTTTTGTATTTGACAGAGAAAACCCACTTACACCCTACTGATTTATTTCCTTTTGGTAAAGGGACAAGAGTCCATGTCACATTCTTGTTTAATTCCTCCATTTCTTCATTCATAGCTTGAGCCCATCTAGGGTCTTCAATGGCCTCTTCAATGTTGCTAGGTACATTGTGTTAAGATAACTCATTTGCAAATTTATTAAGGGGTTCAGACAAGTCCTTAATATAGATATGATTAGCAATTTGATACCTCAATCTATGATCCTCTTCTTCAAGAAAGTAACGCTTCGGTGGTTTTCCCCGATTATGCCTGTGAGGTAATTCATAGCTAACGGAGATATCACCATTATTATTATCAGGAGATATAGGAGAGCTTACCTCAATGATATTCCCAGGAGATGGATCGTTGTGTACTGGAGAGGGGGGATTCCGATAATTCAACTTCATGACTCATATGGTTTGTTTGAGTTTGAAAAGAATCACCAAAAGCTTCATTTGATGGTATATCACTATCTTTGAATCAGTCAAATGTCGACCAATTCGACTCTTCTTTTGATGTCTCCCCCAGAAGAGAAGAATTAGGTGATGCTAAGGAGTAGAAATGGTCATTTTCCAAGAATATAACATCCATAGTTACATAAATGCGTCGAGTAGTAGGGTCATAGCAGCGATACCCTTTCTGGTGTACACCATATCCCAAAAACAGGCAGCAAATGGCACACAGATTAAGCTTTGTACGATGGTTTTTATGTAGGTGAACAAACGCAACACACCCAAAGACACGAGGTGGAAACATTTGTATTGTAGGCAGCGGTACAAATGTTGAAAAGGCCTGTAGAGGAGTTTTAAATTCAAGAACCTTCTATGGAATTCAATTGATAAGATATACTGTTGTAGTAACATCATCAATCCAATGGTGGCGAGGCACATGTGATCCATGTAAAAGAGCACGGGCAGTTTCAAGGATATGGAAATTTTTCTGTCCTGCAATACCATTTTGTTGTGGAGTTTGTGGACACGTGGTTTCGTGAATACGTCCATGTTTTTTTAAATACTTATGGAATTTTTTATTTACAAACTACCAACCATTATCACAGCAAATGACTCCAATCTTGTGTGAATATTGAGTCTGAATCATTTTATGAAATTGTTGAAATATGTGTACCACTTCATTTTTTTGGTTTCATCAATAAATCCAAGTCATTCAAGTGCAGTCATCAACAAATTAGAACATTACCTTCAGTGGTGTGGGAACTTGAT